GATTATAGCCAAGCACATCCTGTACAATATCGAGGATCATATTCACATGTAGACAGTTTGTAGGGGTGTGTATGTTCTCGTGGAAAACTGCTGTGACAAAATGTCCCAGAGCAGCCTTTATAAGGGTCATCCCAGGTGTGTTACTGGCTAGAGAGGACAGGAGAAGGCAAGTGGTGATCACTAAGCAGCTAAAGGTAGGTTTTCAGTCCTTCTTCTAACAGTTTCATTAGAGGAAACTCGTCTTCATTTCTCCTAAGACTGTATTCCAATGTCCAACTGACTCTATATGCTTTGGGACAGGAGGACATGCAGGAATGAGACCCATGGACCACAGCAAGCTGAAATGTTGTCTCTTCTCCCTACTCTTGTTAACAGGTAAGATATTGGGCTCCATTTTACTCTTCTTAAAACAGGCGCGAATTGCGCTAGAATAATGTAATCTTTGTTCCTATTAGCAGATATGAAGTAAACAGTGTAAAACATTTTTATTATATGCGATTGCAAGCTGCAAAATTAATAACATTTTTATTTTCATTGTCTGTCACAAACAGATGATATTATTAAAGTCATGAAAAAAATTCTAACAATGAAAAATAAAATAAATATAACCCAGCTAGCACATTTGGTTCCTTGGATGTTGTGGGAACGTATGTTTTTGGTTTCACATTGGTTGTGGGAACACAGCCATACGTTTACTGACTGGTAAAACCGAACGTTTTTTAAATGTTCTAAGAACATAAGTGAAACTTTTATTTTTAGGTTGCAGGAAGGTTCTGATACCGTTTTACTCTGGTTCCTTGAAAGTTTTCCTGGGAGTTCTTTTTAAAAATAATATCTAATATATTTTATTAAATATGCAGACAGGCAGATTAAAAGTAAGTTTACATTGTAATACTTCTGACAGCCAACTTTCTAGCTCCGCCCATAACTTTTGGACTTTATAGCATGGATTATTGAGTCATTTTAGTAATACGTTTTACACTTAAGACATGACTCTGAATTTGTTCATTTTTTCTCTTGTATAATAATTTATATACTTTAGTTTATACTGGATTAAGCATACATTTTCATCAACTGTAATTTTGTTAGTTATGCTCCAACATTCCCTCCATCTTGTGCCAACATCAGTTCTTTTTAAGTCTTGGTTCCAATAGTTTTAAGAGATTGTTAGTTGGATATGCTCTCTGCAATGTTTTGTATATCTTTCCTATCATATGAACATCCTTTTCTGACTCAAATAAGATTCCCTCAAGGTTGCTCTGATGTCTAAAAGATTTCAAATCGAAATTTCGTGATATGTAACTTTTAAGTTGCATGTATTTGAAAATATCTACATTGGACAGTCCAAAATTGCATTTTATTCTGTAATGGAAATAAATGTATTTCCTGTTACCAAGTCATTTACGGTTTCCATTCCTTTAGATTTCTATATAGACCAATTTATCGATGAATTCTGAAAAGCTATCCAAGGATTGTTCCATAGGTTTGTGTTTTTAGGGAGTGATATTGGTTCTTGTAGAATACGTTTAATTTTCTTCCATATTGTTATAGTGTTCTTAACTATGAAGTTGTTAATGTTCTTAGCTTTATCCTTTTGAAAATAGACAAAAACAAAAAGAAAATACTCTTGGGATGAGCATGCGCATCTTCAATATGTACCCATTGTTCCTCTTTAGTGCATTTAAATATATGTTGCAAGTAAAAAGCCTTTGGTAGCGAGTTGATACAATTCCAAGTCTGGAAGGTTAAAACCACCCTCCGACTTAGGAAGATGTAAAACGTTCCTTTTTATTCTACGAATTTTATTTGCCCATATAAAGTGGTGTTGTGACCGAGTATACTTTTTTAAAGAATGTCTTTAGTGGGGAAATTGGTATTACCGAAAATAAACACCAAAACTTTAGAATCCATACCATTCTGAAGAGGTTTATTCTACATGTAAGATTTTTGGGAAGATTGTTCCATTTAATTAGATCTGCTTTCATATTGTTGTGGAATAAAGTTATCTTTATATAATTGTTGTTTGTTGTCACTTATTAACCATCCTAAGTTTTTCATATTTTTTTGTGGTTCACTTAAAGGATTGCTGTGTATCGTGAGTTATTCATGACATTTTCCTATTGCCATTATTTAGTTTTTTCCATGTACATTTTATATCCTGAGATTTTAGAGTATTCTGAAATTATGTTTAGCAAAGGGGGCATTGAGTTTTCAAAATTGGTCATGTATATCATGAGATCATCTGCAAATAAGTTGAGTCTATATTCATGTTTACCAATACTGATACTTGTTAAGTTTGGGTCCTGTCTTTCTGCAAGCGGTTCAATTGCCAGTGCTAACAGGAGAGGGGAGAGGGGACATCCCTGATTTGTGCCCCTTTCTAAAGAATTTCATCAGATAATGTATTATTTGTGTATATTTTTGCTTCATGACATTCATATAACATTTTTATTAAATGTATTATTTCAGCTGGAAAGTTGAAAGCTTCGAAGGTTTTGCTGGAATGAAAATTAGATTATTTTGAGGTTTTTGTATAACTTCCTTAAAATTGTTAACTGAATGTTTCAAAAATACTTTTAATAACACTTCTAGCTTATTTTGGGTTAACTTTTTTGAACACAGATAGGACACATGGGAATTCATTTCCTTAGGCATTAATCATGCAAACACATTTTTTGTGACACTGCATCAGTGAGATTCAAATGTTCTCTATTCATGGAATTAGTCCACTGTGACACCAGGATGGAGCTAGCATGCCATATTTTTTTACTCATATAACAGACCCCATTTCAAAGGTAACAAGCACTGATTAAGATCAGGTGTGGCCAATTAGTGGATGCGGCCAACACACCTGAACACAAGGTAGAGGAAAGAGTTTTGTTGACGCTGAGAAGGAAATGTACAGTGGGGGAAAAAAGTATTTAGTCAGCCACCAATTGTGCAAGTTCTCCCACTTAAAAAGATGAGAGAGGCCTGTCATTTTCATCATAGGTACACATCAACTATGACAGACAAATTGAGAAAAAAAAATCAAGAAAATCACATTGTAGGATTTTTAATGAATTTATTTTCAAATTATGGTGGAAAATAAGTATTTGGTCACCTACAAACAAGCAAGATTTCTGGCTCTCACAGACCTGTAACTTCTTCTTTAAGAGGCTCCTCTGTCCTCCACTCGTTACCTGTATTAATGGCACCTGTTTGAACTTGTTATCAGTATAAAAGACACCTGTCCACAACCTCAAACAGTCACACTCCAAACTCCACTATGGCCAAGACCAAAGAGCTGTCAAAGGACACCAGAAACAAAATTGTAGACCTGCACCAGGCTGGGAAGACTGAATCTGCAATAGGTAAGCAGCTTGGTTTGAAGAAATAAACTGCGGGAGCAATTATTAGGAAACGGAAGACATACAAGACCACTGATAATCTCCCTCGATCTGGGGCTCCACGCAAGATCTCACCCCGTGGGGTCAAAATGATCACAAGAACGGTGAGCAAAAATCCCAGAACCACACGGGGGGGACCTAGTGAATGACCTGCAGAGAGCTGGGACCAAAGTAACAAAGCCTACCATCAGTAACACACTACGCCACCAGGGACTCAAATCCTGCAGTGCGAGACGTGTCCCCCTGCTTAAGCCAGTACATGTCCAGGCCCGTCTGAAATTTGCTAGAGTGCATTTGGATGATCCAGAAGAGGATTGGGAGAATGTCATATGGTCAGATGAAACCAAAATATAACTTTTTGGTAAAAACTCAACTCGTCGTGTTTGGAGGACAAAGAATGCTGAGTTGCATCCAAAGAACACCATACCTACTGTGAAGCATGGGGATGGAAACATCATGCTTTGGGGCTGTTTTTCTGCAAAGGGACCAGGACGACTGATCCGTGTAAAGGAAAGATCGAATGGGGCCATGTATCGTGAGATTTTGAGTGAAAACCTCCTTCCATCAGCAAGGGCATTGAAGATGAAACGTGGCTGGGTCTTTCAGCATGACAATGATCCCAAACACATCGCCCGGGCAACGAAGGAGTGGCTTCGTAAGAAGCATTTCAAGGTCCTGGAGTGGCCTAGCCAGGCTCCAGATCTCAACCCCATAGAAAATATTTGGAGGGAGTTGAAAGTCCGTGTTGCCCAGCGACAGCCCCAAAACATCACTGGTCTAGAGGAGATCTGCATGGAGGAATGGGCCAAAATACCAGCAACAGTGTGTGAAAACCTTGTGAATACTTACAGAAAACGTTTGACCTGTGTCATTGCCAACAAAGGGTATATAACAAAGTATTGAGAAACTTTTGTTATTGACCAAATACTTATTTTCCACCATAATTTGCAAATAAATTCATAAAAAATCCTACAATGTGATTTTCTGGAAAAAAAAATCTCATTTTGTCTGTCATAGTTGACATGTACCTATGATGAAAATTACAGGCCTCTCTCATCTTTTTAAGTGGGAGAACTTGCACAATTGGTGGCTGACTAAATACTTATTTTCCCCACTGTATATGTTTTTAGATAACAATCTTAGAACATTCTCTGAACATTAAAATGTTTTCCTTGTTGTTTTTATAGAACGTTTTCTTAACTTTCTGAGAATGGAATATATTTTTTTAAAGAATATTCTTAGAACATTCCAAAGCCAAGCAACTATCCTGCACCATTCCCAGAACAGTTGTGGGAAGGTTGTATGCAAAATAACCATAGAACAACCGTGCACTTACCAAGCTCTAAGAAACATATTGTTCTCAGAACGTTGCGGATAATGGACTAGTGATAGAGTATCAGGTTTAGATACTGTATATAGAGAGCATGATCACTTTTCACAGTGAGTCACTACTATGAAGACATGCTACAACCTTCTCATTTCATTTTGACTGTGTTAGTAATTTATTGTACTGTGTTGAACTATTGGAAAGGATCTTTGGTTCCTAGAAAAGCGCTATATAAATCCAATGTTATATTCTGAAATTAAATACCCATCTCTGGTTCCACAGTATCTTCATCAGGCACTCTATCCAACGCAGCAATTACTACTATCCAGCCACTATCTAATACAGCCAGTGTAGTCCAACCATCCAACACAGCCAACTCAGGCCAACCATCAAACACAGCCACTTCATCCAGTGCAGCCACACCATCCTGTACGACACGTCGATGTCTGGCCAGCATGCTGATTGCGAAAGAAGCTCTGAGTCAGCCACAGTCTCGACGGTGCATCTCAATTATTCGTGTGCCGTTAATAGTGTACGAAACTCTGTCTGTCGTAAGTCCCTTTCTGTTCCTTTTAATTTAGTTTTGTACAATGTGATGAGTTTCAGAGATAACCTATTGACATTTCTATCATTATGTGATGATGAATTATTCTCTTCCTAATAGGACACAAAAAACCTCCGCTTCGAGAGTCGTCTGGAAGTCCCGCTGGTATGTACACTCTTAGATAAAAAGGTGCTATCTAGAACCTAAAAGGGTTATTCGGCTGTCCCCATAGGAGAACCCTTTGAAGAACCCTTTTTGGTTCCAGGTAGAACCATTTTGGGAACAGAGGGTTCTACCTGGAACATTTTTTTTTTTACATTTGAGTCATTTTAGCAGACACTCTTATCCAGAGCGACTTACAGTTAGTGAGTGCATACATTTTCATACTGGCCCCCCGTGGGAAACGAACCCACAACCCTGGCGTTGCAAGTGCCATGCTCTACCAACTGAGCTGCAGGGGACTTAAAGGGTTGTCCTATGGGGACAGCCGAATAACCCTTTTGGAACCCCTTTTTCTAAGAGTGTACGCACAAAACATCCAGGGAGACATTTAAGTAAATGTGACATTTTGTAATACTACTCATGATTATAATTCTAAACTACAGTCTTGGGAAGACCCTGACTTATCATGGGACACATCAGTCTATCATCATGATATGGTGGTCCTGCCTGTCAGCAAAATCTGGACTCCTGATCTCCATGTGACTAATGGGTGAGTCCACTTACAACAGAATACAATAGCCTGTTATGTTTATATATATTTTTTTCATTTAGATTTTATAATATTAGTCAATTTATGTGTGATCTTCTAAATAGCGAGTGAAACATGGACAGAATTAGAGATACAGTACTAATATGTTTTGATTGGCCAAATGTTTAGGTGTGACAGTTTTAGTATATCAATCCTCAGTTGTCTGTCCTCAACCTCTCGTGTCTAAAGAGTGCAAACAACGATGAAGCATGGCAACAAGGATTTGCTGGTGCACAGCAATGGGACCGTAGAGCACATGGTCATCATGAACACTGTGGTGGGCTGTGAGGTCAATCTATACAACTACCCCTTCGCTTCAGATTTCTGTGCCATCGCCCTTAATGTGTGGGCAATTAGTGGTAAGTGCATAATTTCAAACCTAATTTTGCCTGCTAAACGGCTCTTGCACACAATTACTTACCAAAGATCTTACTAACCAAAAACAACAACAACAAAATGTTTGTCTGTATAGCCTAATGCAATTTAGTATATAATGCATTTCAGTTTATTTGTCGTTGTCACGTTCGTTGACAGACGGGTCAGACCAAGGCGCACCGTGATATACGTACATGTTTATTTAAACTGAATAAACACCACGACAAAACAATAAACGTTTAGAAGGTATTACAGAAAACAAACCTTACACGGAGCAAGATCCCACAACTAGACAGTGCCAATAGGTCCCCAATCAGAGACAACGAGCGACAGCTGCCTCTGATTGGGAACCACACCGGCCAACATAGAAATACACATACTAGATAATAAACATAGAAAACGCACAACAAAGAATATACACACCCTGACTCAACATTTAGCGTCCCCTGAGTCAGGGCGTGACAGTCGTCTTTGGAATTTTCGATGCATCCTGACTGTCTAGTATTTATTTAGGTGCTTGTTAGTGGGCTGGACACAGTGGGGCCATACTTGCGAACATTATAAAACATTTTAGTTAAAGTTTAAGCATCAGACAATTGTTGACGTAGTTGTACGTGATCAAAGGCTGCATGATAGCTGTTCCCATTACATAACCTGGCAGATTTAGCCATATGCTAACCTCACCAGGTGGCAGTGATTATTTCCTGTAACAAATTCCACATCAGCCTATCAAAGATCTTAAACTTTTTTGTTGTTTCCCCTACTACAGATTGTATCTTTAACTAAAGTTAACTTCCAAATTAATTAGGTTAAATTCATAAGTTAAGAACAAATAAGAATTATATTAACAACATAACAGATGCAAGCTATAATTGTTTTGTATAGCCTAGTTCAAGGCAGTAGCGTGAAATAGAAAAATGTGTGGGTAAATGGTAAGCTTTAGCCTAGCCTCAAAGCAGAAGTTCAGGATTTTACAACTTGATGTTAGATGGTTCTTCACCCTAAAAGTAGTATGGGCCAGGAGAAACTGTAATCCATGGTTCGGTTTTCTCTGAACAAACTTCAGCTAACTTTAGCCACCGCTAACAAAAAATCAATGCGAGTGATAGGGGCAATCATGCAATTGTCAAAATGTCCATTGTATAAAAGTTACTTTTTATTTGTGTGGTAGTTTTTCCACCTCCTCCTGAGAACCAAGATAAAAGTGAACCAAGAGCCAAAAATCAAGGAATGAACCAAACCAAACATTTTGTGAATCATTACACCCATAATGCCTATTGATATAAACAAAAACAATTGTGTTATAAGCTGTGGTATGATCTTTGAGTGAGTGAACTAGTATAAAATATCTGCTTTTCCAGGATGTGGCATGTTCCTGACCTTTGGGAATGTGAGCAAAACTAGCGCAAACCGCGGGGACTGGCTAACCGAGGCAGTGGAACTCAATGCTAAAGGAGGCAGAGATGATCGCAACTATCTATGGGTTAGTGAGTGCTCCTGGTGATTTTTTTTTTTTTTTGGGACATATAAAGATACCTTACTCTTCCTATTTTTAAGGGCATAGATTTAAAAAAAATTACACTCAAAGACAATACATTTACTCAAAAACAAATTATTTCTGCCTGGCTTACCTGTCTGACTTCACAGGTGTCGCTGAAAATGCGGCCCGAAAACCCGTTTCTGTCCCTGGTCCTGCCCAGCATACTGATCATCTTGGCTGATGTGGTGAGCTTCGCCCTGCCGCTGGGAGAGAGCAAGCGCATCCCCTTCAAGGTTAAACTGGTTCTCAGCTTCATCATGTTCCTCAACATCCTCAAGGACCTTCTGCCCGGAGGAGGCCAGTGCAGCCCCATCATCCGTGAGTATCCTGTGTGTAATGCACCAGAATGAAACAGCATTTTGTTATAAAGGGTGCGTATGTAACGGAGTTATAGAGCGACTGCACCCTAAAAACCAACACATTCCTTTGTAAACGGCCAATCTGGCATTGATATGAGTCAGAAACATTTATTCTATTGTAGAGAGAGTTTTTGTCATAAAATCAGCCTATTCCAAAACTGAGTTTGGTACCAGAGTGCGTCAAAACGTAAATGATGGTTGGGTTTGGATTCCAATCATGTCAACAATTCATGCCCCCTTTTGCCCAGGTGGCACCGTGTTGTTTGTGGAAGATTGGGCAAGTTCGTTTTGCCTGGTGGTCCTGCGTAGCTCAGGTAGAGCATGGTGCTTGCAACGCCAGGGTTGTGGGTTTGATTCCCACGGCGGACCAGTATAAAAAAAGAATAATATGAAAATGTATGCATTCACTACTGTAAGTCGCTCTGGATAAGAGCGTCTGCTAAATTACGAAAAATGTCAAATGCAATTGACTGGTAGAAAATGAACCAATGGAATGGTTGTAAATTAGCAATCCCGCCCACCCGGGCTTGGATGTAGCCAGCTTGGTTTCAATAATGTTTCTACTCAAACTGGCTAGCCAAATGATCCCTGCTAGCTAACGTTAGCGGAATGTTATCTAGCTAACTAACTACCCACTGGGCACAGACATCAATTCAATGTCTATTCCATGTTGGTTCAACGTAATTTCATTGAAATGACGTGGAAACAATGTTGATTCAACCAATGTGTGCCCAGTGGGAAGCTAACTAATTTCAAGTCAGATTTGCAAATTAAGCAGCTAGCGAGCTAGAAAACAACATGACAACAACATTGTCTATATTCTAGGGCAAAAATTACAGTTCAAATAAGGAAATCAGTCAATTGAAGTAAATTCATTAGGCCCTTATCTATGGATTTCACATGACTGGGAATACAGATATGCATCTGTTGGTCACAGATACCATTTTTTTTTTAAGTAGGGGTGTGGATCAGAAAACCAGTCAGTATCTGGTGTGACCACTATTTGCCTCATGCAGCGCGACACATCTCCTTCACATAGAGTCGGTCAGGCTGTTGATTGTGGCCTGTGGAATGTTGTCCCACTCCTCTTCAATGGCTGTGCAAAGTTGCTGGATATTGGCGGGAACTGGAACGTGCTGTTGGAACACACATTGATCCAGAGCATCCCAAACATGCTCAATGGGTGACATGTCTGGTGAGAATGCAGGTCATGGAAGAACTGGGACATTTTCAGCTTCCAGGAATTGTGTCCAGATCCTTGCGACATGGGGCAGTGCATTATCATACTGAAACATGAGGTGATGGTGGCAGATGAATGGCACGACCATGGGCCTCAGGATCTCGTCACTGTATCTCTGTGCATTCAAATTGCCATCAATAAAATGCAATTGTGTTTATTTTCCGTTGCTTATGCCTGCCCATACCATAACCCCACCGCCACCATGGGGCACTCTGTTCACAACGTTGCAAACCGCTCACCCACACAACGCCAAACACGCTGTCTGCCATCTGCCCGGTACAGCTGAAACCAGGATTCATTCGTGAAGAGCACACTTCTCCAGCATGCCAGTGGCCATTGAAGGTGAGAATTTGCCCACTGAAGTCGGAAAAAACTGCAGTCATGTTAACACCCTGGTGAGGATGACGAGCACGCAGATGAGCTACCCTGAGACTGTTTCTGACAGTTTGTGCAGAAATTCTTCGGTTGTGCAAACCCACAATTTCATCAGCTGTCCGGGTGGCTCATCTCAGACCATTATGGGATCAGCCATCTTGCTTAAGGGGGAGATGTGGCGATATGCTGATATCTACAGTATCTAATGATGATATGTCAAGTTCATAAACTGACATGCACAGTACAACCTGTGATGTTCTATACTGAACAAAAATATAAACGCAACATGTAAAGTGTTGGTCCCATGTTTCATGAGCTGAAATCAAAGATCCCAGAAATGTTCCACCCACACAAAAAGCTTATTTCTCTAAAATGTTGTGCACAAATTTGTTTACATCCCTGTTAGTGAGCATTTCTCCTTTGCCAAGATAATCCATCCACCTGACAGGTGTGGCATATCAAGAAGCTGATGAAACAGCATGATAATTCCACAGGTGCAGCTTGTGCTGGGGATAATAAAAGGCCACTCTAAAATGTGCAGTTTTGTCACAACACAATGTGTTGTAGGACCGCTGAGCTGACTGCATTCAACTCGCAGTAGTTGATATCGTTTCCAAGGTAACATGTATTTACATGAAGTGATGTAACGTTGAACTAAGTTGTAGGGTCTTTTCGCAGCAAGGTTTTGTAGAATGAGTGACTCATGAAACATTCCAGACACTGGTTCTTGGCATACTTTTGATTTGACAGAGAAATATATGCCAGCTAAGGTAAGACAGGCTAGCCAGCTCCCCCCCCCCCCCAGCTTGGCTAAACATATGTTCAACACAAAATATTATCTATTCGCCTCTTCTCTACTTTAGCCTACACATAGAGCTGAATTAGATGACCATCTTGAGATGGCGAGTCACTCAGGTGGGGTGAAGTTCTCAACTTCAAAACGTCTCGCCATAGCAAAGCTAGCTTAGTTTACCTTGCTGTCACTACACTAACGTTACTACCCTTTTATGTAATTGAATGGTAAAGACACACCCAAGAAACACCCACATCCAACCACACCCCAAAGATAACTTTTGTTTGGCTTCAGTCATGGCCGCTAGCATTTTATGAGACAAATCTAAAATGAGGCCAAATCAGGACGTTCAGCCGCCCTTTAAGAATGTGCAGTAAGCTCACTCCACAGCTAGCTTGAAATGTTGCCAAGAGAGCTATCAAATTTGATATTTTTCTATAGCACAATTGGTTGGCACGTTGTCAAGGAGGACGGCCGATGTTTGTGAGCAGAGGATCACTAGTTCGAGCCCAGTGTGTTACAGGGACAGTAAAGGAAGCTATACTGTAAGCAGCACACTGATGTTGGTTTCATGTATACAGCACCTCTCTGCCACCATATAACACTCACACATCTCTCTCTCTTGTTGTTCTCCATAGGAAAGCACTTCTGTTTCTGTTTGGTCATCCTGGTGTTGAGCATGTTGCAGTCTATGGTGCTCACACGTCTGGCTAAGTGTGGCACTCTCTGGCCCTGCAGCCGCTCCAAGTCCAAAGACTCACCGCTTAAAGACACAGACAATGAAGAGGGTAAACTTTTTAATTCTTCTGTCATCTCAGTTACCCACAGAGCAAGATATATTTTTCTGGTTGCCAAAGAAGACGTTAACAAAACGTCCTTATTAGGGCTGTCAGAGTTAAGCAGTTAACTCAAGTTAACTTTTGGTAATTTTTCGTGCACTATCATTTTTTGTTTTGTTTGATTAATCGCATTGTCTAAAAGGGTTGAAAATACACTGAAAACATCCCAAATACATAACCTATACTGCAAAAATGTACAATGCCATGTAAAAATAAGTTGACATTGAGGTGAAATAAAATGTGCTTTCTCAATTTACCAAATTTAACAAACTGTTATTTTGACAAAATCAAGACATTCATATTTTTGTAATGTTCTTTTTTTGTATAAAAAAATGACAGCTCACTTTGGAGCAAATTTGGAATGTCATTTTTTCTCTCTAATTAATTGTTTGACAGCCCTAGTCCTTATACAACCCTTTATAACCTGACCATAATGTCATAATGACTTTACTGCAACCAGTTTTACTGGGTAACCCATTAATCCTAAAAGCGCCAACAAGGGTACATTTTGACCCCAAGTGGTAAAAAAAATATATAATATTCAACCTTTTTTTGATCCTTCTGACATTTTTGGACTTTGCCAAGCAACTAGTTACCACCAAAATAACGCAATTTACTATGATTTCTGTGTTAATATGGAGGAATGAAAAATAATACATATTTTGTTTACTAGATTCAATAGACTCAATAGTAAACTTTGTGATAAAATCCCCAAATTTGGAATAGAGGTAGATGTATGTACCCTAAAAAGATATAGATATGGAGCGAACCCAGATTTGGCCCCTTGGGGGCGTGGCAGCTACTATAACTAAAAAATTACAACAAATTCAAATACACATTTAGCTTCCAGTCAATGTCTCTATACCAAGTCGAGAGAGTCTAATCTTTCAGATGCAATTTGAACTGAATTGATAGCCCATAGCATTCCAAGGTTAGAGCTAAAAGTCTGATTATCGGCCATATTGGTGGCCATCGTAGGTCGTACCAGATTTAGCTCAATCTGCAATTTCTCAGCCTCTGAGTATCACAGAAACACAACACTTTGAATGAATAACAGACAAATGTTCATAACAAGTGGCTATGGATGAAATGTATCGAAATATCTGTTCAAAACATGAAAAACATACAGATGTTTATTTTGAAACGGCAAATGTGAATATAAATGTGTGATTTTGTAAAGATATATGCTTATTTTGGGGAATTTAAACCATTTTACTTGTGTTACAAAAGGTTAATAAAAGAAAAAGTGTTACTGTTTGACTGTTTATTTTTGCCATCCAATTTGGGGTCAAATATGACCCCTGTTGGCGCTTTTAGGAGTCGAAATATTTGGGCACTTTTAGGGTTAAAGAAAATCATCACCATAAACAAGTCAAAATGTATTTTATTAATGCACAACCATTCTTACCCTTTAGCTGCAGTTAAAGCATGCAGTTGACGTCTTCCCAGCATATTTTCTTGTTACCATCATTTGTCTCGCCAGCTACTCCATTTGATGTTTAATCTGTCACTGAAAACTATGTCCTGAGTGGTTTTTACAAAAATTATGCTATATTAATTGTTATCATTTTTTTTTCTCTCTCATTTAATTTGTCTAGAATCCAGGCCTGATATTACTGTCATCAAACTGAAAGCCTCAGAGGAAGAGAAGAATTCACCCCTCCAGAAGGTGGTGAAGTTTCTCAACAAAATGGCTGCACAAGACCAGAAAAAAGTTAGACACCATCGCTTTGCCAACAAAGTGGACTTGATCTGTTTCTGTATCTATCTCACCATCCTCATTGTTTATACAGCCGTCATTTCATATTTCTCCTTTGGTTCTCGATGTGAGATCGACCATTTAGAATTCTGGCATTAAATTATTCATTTGCTTTTAACAACAATATTTAAAGAAATGTTGGTCTATTTGTGTCTTCACAAATCTTGCATGTTTTTTTTGTTTCTGGATGAAAATAAATACGTGTGTATTCTTCAGTAGAACTTTAACAATATTTATTTCAATATGTTTAAAACTAGCCAGTCATGTGGAATAATACATTTCTCAATTAGAACTCTAAATTTAGCTGCAAGCAGCAATGAACAGGTTTCACAGGATGACACAGGAGGTACAGTGCGGCCATATTTGAATACAGCAATTATTTTCTCAAAAACCATTCAAGACTGATGTAATGAGCCTAAGTGGGATGTTCAGTGGATAGACTAATGCGTTGAACATATGTCTGAAAACTAACTAGTTGCCAGTTATTGATGCCCGTGGCGTAAACATGTCTAACCAGTTTGCTAATGTAGCCTGTGTGCCAATGAGCTCACGAGTCTAGCTACATTTACATTTACATTTGAGTCATTTAGCAGACGCTCTTATCCAGAGCGACTTACAGGAGCAATTAGGGTTAAGTGCCTTGCTCAAGGGCACAGACAGATTTTTCACCTAGTCGGCTTCGGGGATTAGAACCAGCGACCTTTCGGTTACTGGCACAACGCTCTTACCCACCAAGCTACCTGCCGCCCAATACTGGTATACACATTATTAGCATAATGAAAATATTCAACAGCTTTTTGAGAGAGACAAACAACTGACAGACAGCATGGAACGTGTTGGTGTATAATCATACTCTGTCTGCGCCGCTTCCAAACCCAGAGTAGAAGAATGACAAAAGATGGAAGAGGTGGATGGAAGAGGTAGCCTGGTGTCAGATCGGTTCGTGATGGAAGAGGTAGCCTGGTGTCAGATCGGTTCGTGCTGCAGCCAAGCCAACACCTATAGTCATTTTAGCAGGACAGCAGAAACAGGTCTGGGACCAGACTATGGAAGAGAGATGTCAGGCTTTGATGTCAGGCTTGTGAACAAAACGGGGACCAGACCAGATGATGTTTGGTAGAAGCCCTTGTCAGTATCCTCTATCAGACCTTTACCGTCAGAAGAGCAGCATCACCACAATAACAATATTCAAGTCCATAAAATAAAGTATGCACATAATGATGATCACATTCATCATTTTGCGTACATGTCATGTTTGATTGTCGGTCTTAAGATACACTATTTTACATACTAGTGACTTAAACCAGCTTGAATCTGGAGCTCTAGATTAATGTACACTATATATACAAAAGTATGTGGACACCTGTTAAAATTAGTGGATTCGGCTATTTCAGCCACACCCGCTGCCGACAGGTGTACAAAATCGAGCACACAGCCACGCAATCTCCACAGACAAACACCGGCAGTAGAATGGCCCCACCGAAGAGCCCAGCGACCCCTCAACGTGGCACCGTCATAGGATGCCACCCCTCTAAAGCTACAATTTAGTCAGTAGCTATCCTTATAAATATGGTGGTTACTGGATAAACTACCTATGAGTTGAACATATTTGGCTGAAAATGAACTAATAGCCAGTTGTTGTTGCCCATGGTGGAACTATCTAACCCGCAGGCTCCTGAAGCCCCCATGAGCTCCCGAGTTTTGAAGCAATCTGCTAGCGTCACAAATTAGCATTTAGCTAGCGAGCTGAGCTGTTTTACAAGAAACTGGCTGAGATGACTCACATGCTAGCAAACCCTGCTCAGGGACAATGTTAATGGGATGCGGGAATGTTGTCTTTTAATTGTACAGGGATACTGTAATGAATACTCAGGGAGAAAAAAGTGTAGATTCACGCGCAGAGCGCGGCAGGTGTTTATTTCGCCTTCGCAAAAGGCAGGAATCATGGTCACAGGCAGGCAATGGTCTAACACAGGTAGGCAAACAAGCAGGAGAATCAAAAACTAGCACTGAAGGCTATTACTGGTTCTCACAAACAAGCTATGAAAAGACTTAGTAGAGTCAAAACAAACAATACCTTACAAGGCACAAACCGAATGAACTGAACTAAATAAGGAGCTAATGAGACCAGGTGAGTAACTAACACAGGTGAAATCAATGAACAAAAATGAAAGACAGGGCTACGTTCAAGAACACAAAGAAACAGGGCTATGTTCAAGAACACAAGGTTGACTAAGAAAATACAGTGGGGAAAAAAAGTATTTAGTCAGCCACCAATTGTGCAAGTTCTCCCACTTAAAAAGATGAGAGAGGCCTGTAATTTTCATCATTCGTCAACTATGACAGACAAATTGAGAATTTTTTTTCCAGAAAATCGCATTGTAGGAATTTTAATGAATTTATTTGCAAATTATGGTGGAAAATAAGTATTTGGTCACCTACAAACAAGCAAGATTTCTGGCTCTCACAGACCTGTAACTTCTTCTTTAAGAGGCTCCTCTGTCCTCCACTCTTTACCTGTATTAATGGCACCTGTTTGAACTTGTTATCAGTATAAAAGACACCTGTCCACAACCTCAAACAGTCACACTCCAAAATCCACTATGGCCAAGACCAAAGAGCTGTCAAAGGACACCAGAAACAAAATTGTAGACCTGCACCAGGCTGGGAAGACTGAATCTGCAATAGGTAAGCAGCTTGGTTTGAAGAAATCAACTGTGGGAGCAATTATTAGGAAATGGAAGACATACAAGACCACTGATATTCTCCCTCGATCTGGGGCTCCACGCAAGATCTCACCCCGTGGGGTCAAAATGATCACAAGAACGGTGAGCAAAAATCCCAGAACCACACGGGGGGACCTAGTGAATGACCTGCAGAGAGCTGGGACCAAAGTAACAAAGCCTACCATCAGTAACACACTACGCCGCCAGGGACTCAAATCCTGCAGTGCAGACGTGTCCCCCTGCTTAAGCCAGTACATGTCCAGGCCGGTCTGAAGTTTGCTAGAGTGCATTTGGATGATCCAGAAGAGGATTGGGAGAATGTCATTTGGTCAGATGAAACCAAAATATAACTTTTTGGTAAAAACTCAACTCGCCGTGTTTGGAGGACAAATAATGCTGAGTTGCATCCAAAGAACACCATACCTACTGTGAAGCATGGGGGTGGAAACATCATGCTCTGGGGCTGTTTTTCTGCAAAGGGACCAGGACGACTGATCCGTGTAAAGGAAAGAATGAATAGGGCCATGTATCGTGAGATTTTGAGTGAAAACCTCCTTCCATCAGCAAGGGCATGGAAGATGAAACGTGGCTGGGTCTTTCAGCATGACAATGATCCCAAACACACCGCCCGGGCAACGAAGGAGTGGCTTCGTAAGAAGCATTTCAAGGTCCTGGAGTGGCCTAGCCAGTCTCCAGATCTCAACCCCATAGAAAATCTTTGGAGGGAGTTGAAAGTCTGTGTTGCCCAGCGACAGCCCCAAAACATCACTGCTCTAGTGGAGATCTGCATGGAGGAATGGGCCAAAATACCAGCAACAGTGTGTGAAAACCTTGTGAAGACTTACAGAAAACGTTTGACCTGTGTCATTGCCAACAAAGGGTATATAACAAAGTATTGAGAAACTTTTGTTATTGACCAAATACTTATTTTCCACCATAATTTGCAAATAAATTCATTAAAAATCCTACAATGTGATTTTCTGGATTTTTTTTCCTCATTTTGTCTGTCATGGTTGACGTGTACCTATGATGAAAATTACAGGCCTCTCTCATCTTTTTAAGTGGGAGAACTTGCACAATTGGTGGCTGACTAAATACTTTTTTCCCCCACTGTAAATACAGAACCTTACAGATACAAACTGGTGAGGGCCCAAAATGGGGACTATATATTTTTGCGGAAACACACATATGTTTGAAGTAACAGAAAATGTGCTAATTTTCAGAGTAGTATTGGCACGACACCAACATTTTACCAACAATGCGATACCAGGCCAAGTATCACCATCCCTAGTAGTATCATGGATACCACAGGGGAAATTAATTTGCGTCCTGTTCACCCGCCCCTCCCCCTAGGAAGCCTGTTCCCGTTTTCTATACGATTTGCAAAAACCTGTCCCTGATATTCACACAGCTACTCAATTTAACTTCACACAGTTTACTGTATAATAGAATAGGCTACTGCAGAAAATGGCTGATTTGCTCATATCCAAAGGCCTTCCTTTGATTTTGCAGGAGGAATGTAGTAAGGAATATAAATGCTGCATGTCATTGTGGCAGAAAAGGGAAAACACTATGCCTATATGAAACCATTTTACTCTTCAGATAACTTTACACACACACCCTCTCACTCACTTACTCCCTCTCTCACACATCACTCTCTCTTCTCTGTTTTCTAAGTTGCTCCCAACTTAGAAAAGTAATGCCGGTGGTACACTACACGACTTTCTAAATTCTAACGTCGCTGAACCTCTCACATTCAACAACCTTCTTTCCTGTAGTTTTCTGTCTTGCCAACGTAATGATGCGCACACTAAACGATGTGGCTCAGACGGGTGTCACACACCAGGAGGCTTCACTTGGTCTTGAGGATTCTCGATACCAGGCTGTCTTGCGAAAACGATGTGATGATGTGAACGAGCTGTGGCTCAAAGAAGCATAATAAAACGTTTTCAGTCAGACATTCACGCTTGCCACACAGAGTGGAAATGTCTAGGCAACAGACCTTTTCAACAGCATTTTGAGGAGGAGAGGAAGTGAAACGCAGGGTCCATCCAAACACCTGGTTTGTGTGTGCATGTTTGTTTACATCAGCTGACTGTTCGTCAATGGCAGCTGTTGTCATTGGAAATAGCTAGCTAGATAGCCAAAAACTGGAATAACTAGCTTTGTCAACTTGCATTAGGACCATAGGACCGTGTTGTTCGGTAGTGGGGTGCTCCTTGAGACTCGGAACAAATACACTGCTCAAAGAAATTAAGGGAACACTAAAATAACACATCCTAGATCTGAATGAATGAAATAATCTTATTAAATACTTTTTTCTTTACATAGTTGAATGTGCTGACAACAAAATCACACAAAAATTATCAA